GCCCAAGAGTTGGCGGTGGGTGGTGATGACTAGCTGCCTTCCCTCTAGTCTTACACTGCTAAATTAGGGACGGCTAGCGCAGATAGCCCTCGTGTAGCTTTGCGCGAAATTCAAAAAACAAACAAACACTATCAAACTTTAATAATGGACTAGTAGTACATCTGAGATTGGATAAAAAAACATGTCATTAAAGGACTTATATTAAATAAAGCGGTGAAAATAGTATTTTGTCATGATTATAAATATGAAGTACAGTTATAGTTAATGGTTAAAACCAGGTTAAAATCTCTCGTTTATTGTAAAATGGCCTATTAGAAAAATAAAATGAATTAATGCTACAAGTTGGAATTGGCGGTAAGGTTGAATGAAATAGAGGTTTGTGATACCATTAGGTTTTTTGTTCTATTTTAATTGATGTTAAATTGCAATATCATAAGTAGTACAAAATGCTTAGTAATGAGTAATGGATGCTTTATCGAAAACCTTTTAGGGAATGTCTTCGAATCAGTTAAAACGTCAACAATTTCCTAAAATGTTTCTTCGCGCCTCCTGGTGCTTTATTTTATACTACACTTATTTTGAAATAGAAACATCGTTTTGAATTAAAACTATTTATATTGTGATAATAACTTTATTATGCACAATTATGCTTCTGTCTGAAATGTTAATTTGGTTATTTTAAAGGTCACTTTTATTTATACTATTAAATATATATATATTATATTCTGGACTGTGAGATATTTGTAAAATTTTATAAATTTTCAAAATAAGTTTCCGTTCTTGTCACTGTTTGTCACTTCTTTGTTACTTCAAAATTTATCAGTAATTCGTTTCAACTAAAATTCCAATTGTAAAATTAGAAATAAAGCATCATTATTTTATATACATGATAAAGTTACTAGTAACATAAAATAAATAAAATTAATTATTTTACTTTTCGAACTGAGATAATAATAAAGTTAGTAAAAATGTGTTCAAAATATAAACGCATCATTTGTTAATTATACTTATTTACCCTAATTTCGACGTCTTTAGTTCCTTGTAAATAACTTATATTCTTTCATCTTTTCTCCACCTTTTATGCTTACTAATTTTATCGATCTCAACGACACCTACACACAGAGAAAGGTAATTTATTAAACAAATATATTGTTCAATTTTCTTTAAGATTCATTATATTTTTCATAAGTAGAAATTATTTGGGGAAAAGAATGATCCGAAAATTGTTATTCGTGTTTATTGAAAATTAAATATTTAAAAGTACAATCAAGCTTGCTCTAATGATGTTTTTGTAATTGTAAATTTGCGAGGAAACTTTTGCAGTGCCTACAGATGTTCAAGCAAAGTAAAAATAGCATAACCTCATCCTATTGTAGTTTCACATTTTACTATGTTTTTGATTAATAATTACTTGCTTAAATAATTTTCAAAGGAACTACTGTGGAAATAGCGAAAGTTGAAGGAGAGAAATCAATACAACGGTTTATCAGTGAAAATGTTTAAAACAAATTCACGTTTTTACTAAAATCAAGCAGAAGTGAAATATTAGCCCGTATATAAATTAATACAATAATACAAGACGAATATATAAAGGACTGGCAAAAGGGGGAGCTTTAAAGTTTTTCGAGAAGCGTAAGTTGTGGCAGAAATTACAAAACTCAGTTTTAAAAATGGAAAATGTGAATTCGTCTGCTAATAAACATTCTCGTATTCAAATAAAGCGAACTTGGTGATAAATAATCTTTGTTAAATTTGTTACTCATTTTGTTTATCGTTTACTAAAATACTTGATGTGTCTCCTTCCGTCTAAATTGTTACAAGGAACACCATTAAGCACGCGTGTTTGTACGTATAAATTATATATATGTGTGTGTGTGTGTTTTATATGTACTCCTTCTTAACTACTGTGATTGCTCACGTACCTAAGGGGTTTGATTCTAGAGATTTTGCGTATGTTGCTCGAGATCGAGCTTCTCGCAAGCACATGTGCCATGTCTTCCGCTGTGACATCCCTGCTCGAATCATCGCTAATACACTGAGAGACTTGTGTAAGAAGATAATGTTAGAGCGCAGTTACCAACAGAATCTGGCTAATCCCATTCCTCAACCTATTTCAAAGCCAACAGCGAATGCTCATAGACAGGGGATAAAAACAGCCGCTATTCGCCCGACTAACCTCCCAGTGGAACAGAGACGCATCAGGCACATCAATTCCAGAAACGCTTACAATAGCAAGTATCTTTTTTTTTTTTTTAATTACAGTTATTTAATTTGCAACAAATAGGTTAGTTCAACAGCTTGGCAGAGCATTCCCAGAAGTGAAACACAACTGAATATTTGTAGTTCATTAATCAATAAATAATTATGGATAACATCAAGTTCCGAACACAAACAAGCTTACCAAAGCAACTAAAATGAAATTAAATCATGTGTCAGCTATTAATTAATTAGTATGATGAGACTGATTCGGTTAAAACTTAAATGAATTTAAGAAACTTTCTTGTACTATGCAACAAACTTTCGAGCTAACAATGATTTGTACCGATTATTATTGTTTCAAATTTAACAAATCATCACAAGATTTATTCAAGCACATTCTTTGAATTATTTTCTCTCAAGCAATGGATTCAAAAAAATCTAATTTTAGCCTGTTTAGGTATGCATTATTATCTAAATGGAGTAAATTTGTCTGCTGTATTCGTTATATAGAATAATCATATGTTTCACCAAGAATGAAGTGCTGTATTCCTTATATAGATTAATCATATGCTTCACCAAGAATGATTAATGAAGTGCTGTATTCCTGATATAGATTAATCATATGTTTCACCAAGAATGAAGTGCTGTATTCCTTATATAGATTAATCATATGTTTCACTAAGAATGATTAACGAACTGCTGTATTCGTTATATAGATTAATCATATGCTTCACCAAGAATGATTAATGAAGACTCGTTGTTTTCAGGTCAGTCTTTTCCTACACCAATGGAAGAACCAAGGAAAATACTTAAAGTGTATTATCTAGGAACCACACTGGTGCCTAAGCCTACCGGCATGGACGTAATTAACGGCGCCATAAACGAGTTGTTGGTCTCTGTACCTACCGAAGCCTACAGATATGTTAACGTTATCGTGTCTCCCTCTACAATTTCTATTTCCAAAATAGGCGTAAGTAATTATTTTTCATCAGAGAAGTGTTGCTGTAAGCTATATTTTCAATGTTTTAATTTAGTTATTTGCTAGAACTCTGCTAAGATGATAATAACGCTAGATTTAGAAAATTTATAAAAGTAAACCCTGAATGTTCGTGAATATTAATGATCGAGAGAATTTGCGAAATAGCTAGAAACAATGACACATTATAAATACCGAGAATGAGTTTAGTTTTGTTCGTTCAGGACCAGTAAAAGTGAAGTATTTAATGAAAAGTTACCGCGTCTGTTCTGTTATTTGGAGAGTTACGTGTTTGTTTATCAAGCTACTCTAATTAAGTTTGGTGTATGTCTCGCAGTTTATATTGAAATGTTGTATTTGAAGTTAAGCATACCTGAGTACATTTAGTTGCGGAGTTCACATTAAAAAAGTTGTTTGTGAAGTTAAGTGTAAAACTTGTGTCAGCGTGAACATAGTCTATAAGAACATTATGAAAGAAATATATTAATTTTTATCGTTACGTGGACCAGACTTCGAATTGTTTTCACCAAGTAACTCTAGAGAACCCACGTAACAACAATATATATACTGATTAAAAGTTGTAGAATATTAGTATTATATAAACTAAGATTACAGTACTTCTAGAAAACTTTTTTAATACCTCATATAATTTTGTTTTTATTAATATTTCAATTTGAAATCTCATTTCGTTTATTCTTTTTAAATAAAGCTCCAAGCTTTTAATAATGAACTTATTTATATTCCCATGGTTATGTAGCCCGACCCAAGGTTGTTAGCTGAATGTAGAGTGCGTTACTTATCATTCTTGGGTATTGGACAAATTGTAAAGTAAGTTATTTTGCTATGTTTATTATCATTATTTTCAAGTGACTTCTTTGCTATGAGTATCAGCTGCCAAGATGACAGGCAAACATTACTAAATTGTCTTTTATAATTTCATAATAAATGTTTCAGAATTCAAGTTAACCGTCCAGGTTATCGTGTTCCACAAACGTTTCATCAGTAATTTAGAAGTTATTAGGCTTAACTAACAGTAAGACTTACACTAAGTTACAGAAACAAAGCTGCTGCATTTTTTTTCTAGAAATGTTTTTTCAAATGTAATGTGTGTGTGTGTGTGTGTGTGTTGTTTTTCATAGCAAAGCCACATCTGGTTATCTGCTGTGCCCACCGAGGGGAATCGAACCCTTGATGTTATCGTTATAAATCCGTAGACTTACCGCTGTCCCAGCGGAAGACTCAAAAGTAACAAATTCTCAAGTAACTGTTTGACCATCTTGTCTCTCACCATCTTGTTTAGCCCTGTAGTAACACTCAGCTTGAAATATGAAATACGTACCCTACCCAGTAGCGTAGACAAGCTTCTGTAGCATGCATTCATACCACTTGTTTTTCCACCTTTTTGTTTTATTATGATTTTTTTTTTCAACAATTTTCGTTTATTCTAGCTATGTACAGTTTTCACATAACACGTGGTCAAGAATATCGTTGATTTCATCCTAGCTAACTATTTTCTTTGTCATCTCTTGGAGATAACATCTGGTCTACCCATTTAGGTTACAGCTGTAAAGCTGCACCTTGAGCATGAAGGTTGACAGGAGTGCCCTCCAGTAGTAGGTCATTTGATATCTCGAGGTTACACCCTCCGTTACATTTGAACGCTAGTTGCTCTAATTAAGTTTGACGTTGCCAATTCAACTAAGTAACGTAAGAACATCATCTTGAGTAAATCGTTCAGATTGGAAATAAGTCTTGGGGGAGTAGATCCAGTTTCTTCAATTCACAACTACACGAGATGGAGTACACATGCTGTTGTATAAATAATGTTTCATTGTGTATTACACTTATGTCGTAGAACAGACTCAGTATTACTTTACAATATATCTTGCCGAATATCCATTACATAGTAGACCTACCTAATTTATTCCTCAGAGAAATCGGTTTAACTTCAAATACCACACGTTTAAAGTTGCCCGGGCACCAACAGGGCCAGGTGATAATGCAAACGGCTCGGCATGGCCAGGTGGTTAGGGCGTTCGACTCGCAATATACGGGTCGTGGGTTCGAATTCCCGTCACACCAAACATGCTCGCCCTTTCAGTCGTGAGGACTTTATAATGTGACGGTCAATCCCACTATTCGTTGGTAAAAAGAGTAGCCCAAGAGTTGTCGGTGGGTGGTGATAACCAACTGCCTTCCCTCTTGTCTTGCACTGCTAAATTAGGGACGGCAGATAGCCCTCGTGTAGCTTTGAGCGAAATTCATAACAAACAAATAATTCAAAAACATATTGGTCAGGTCTCTTTGAATGTATACATGTATGCAAAACCTGAGCGAGTTTGTGGCAAAGAAATGTATAGTTTTCTGACATTGTATTTGTTATAAACAGGTTAGCCATATCCGTTCTAATTTAACCTTACAAACTAAATAATAATACTAACGCGCCATTCTGTCAGCTCGTTTATTGTTTGTTCCTCCTCTTCATACTTTTCACCACCCCTACTGCCACACTATTGACTATTCTATATCTTAATTAAATATGTGGAATAAAATTACAATTAGTTCAAATTTAGTTCAAATCGTATTTTTTAGATATTCATACGCTCTTAATGTCGACAGTTTGAATGAAAAAAAAAAGCCTGAAGTTATCAAAACACTTCCCTTAAACACTGGGTTACTATTTCTCGTGAAATGACATTATTGGGTGAAATAAAAAATTTTGAGCTGATTCTTATCAATACTGTAACGAATGAATGTTCTGTTACGACAGCGGAAGTCACGTGACGCTATTAACACGTCATGAGATTCTAGAAAGATCATGTCCGTTCATACTTTTCACCACCCCTACTGCCACACTATTGACTATACTATATCTTAGTTAAATATGTGGAATAAAATTACAATCAGTTGCAATTTTTGAACAGTGTGTTACAAATACCGTTTTAAAACTAAGTGTAATTTCTTGTTTGCAGACACTGTGCTTTCATCATGCACACAGCCGATGACCAATTTATTGCCCACGTTTTCCATTGTGAACCCTCTTCTGGAGCGCTTTGTAAAACAATAGAAGCAGCTTGTAAGGTAAGACTAAAGCCAAACCAAAATTTCAAAAACCAAACATTATTATATCGAAAGTTTTATTGTATGTCAGACTGTTGACCGATGCGTTGAAAGGAAATGTGATTTACTGTATGTCAGACAGTTGACCGATACGTTGAAAGGAAATGTGAGGACTTGTTATTATTTAGTAGTAACAAATTTTTAAGAAATAATTTGCAAAGAAAAAAAAATTCATTTCATTCCGTGTTAATTTTTCCTCCGGAATATGATAGACAAAGTTATGTTAAGTTTATGCTTCTCATGTTTGAAAAGTCTTACAAAACTCAGCTGTAAGAAAATGTGCCAATGTTGACGATTAAATAATGTTAATTCGTAAAGTGAAACCACAGAAAGAAAAAGGAACCTGTATAACACAGACAACATATTAGAAGGCGACATATAAATGTAAAATTTATAGAGAATTGCTCGGAGACTATACAAACCTTTAAAATTTCATTTTCATTTCAATCACAAATATCCTAAGAGTTATTTAAATTAAGACTGTTAAAATTATTTTTGATCAAAGGCTGATGTATGTCAGATTAATGTCTGGTTCACAAAGAATACTTAAACCATGCTGTTTCTTATTTTTCGTAAATTTTATTGTTTACAGTATGAATCGTTCTGTCTCTTAGAATGATATTCACCCAGAAAACGACTGTTACTTTTTTTGACCCCCATGTAACTCAGCGGTAACGTTAAATGCCGGGTTTCTATACCCGTCGTGGGTACAGCACAGATAGTCCATTGTGTAGATTTGCGTTTAACAACAACCAGACAAGATTATATTTGATATGCTTCTTCAATGGATAATTTTTACAACGCAATGGGTTCCTCAATACAAACCCAAATTCTATTTTCCTCAAGGCAATTCTAATAATTAAAAAAACATTTTATTAGCAGTAAGTATTGGCTTTGTTACTTAAGTTAACTTATATAACTTTACCCGTGCGGCAGAGTTTGACATTTAGGGAAGTAATGATGGAAAAGTCTCTTGGGAAATCACAAACTGGCGCCCCACCTTCAATGTCAATCTATAATATCACAAGAAATGTACTCATCATTTCCTATTAAGATTTGAAACTATCGATGTGGAACGGTTAGCTACATACTTACAAGTATACAAATGCCTTTTACGTGTTATAATTTTGTTTGTTGTTTGCTTTTAGTTAATTTTACAAATTGTTCGTTTTATATTAAATAGCTACAGTATCTTTGCAGCTACGTTACCAGAAGTGTCTTGACGCCCATCGAGAAGCTTTGGCAAGAAAAAATGGCAAAGTTCAAGAAAGGAAGGTAAAATAAAATGGTTATCAAATGGGTGTGGCAATTTCAGACAAGGCACAGAACAAGTTTTCAAATATACAGTAATCTAAATTGTAATCCGTGAAGTAATTTCCTTGTGCAACTATTAGAGAATTGAGGAAAGATAGTGTTTAGTAATAGCTGTTTGTCATTTTCATCTATATTAGAAATTTTCCTGGGTTTGTGAAACGTAGGGTATATAGTACAACGATTTAATAAATTATTATTTTCCTAATGCTACCTGAGGAGTCTTTAAGAACACCCTCTTTGTCAATGTTAAAAAAACATGAAGGAGAAGATGCATGTATTGTCAATGTTAAAAATATATATGAAGGAGAAGATGCATGTATTGTCAATGTTAAAAACATGAAGTAGAAGATGCATGTATTGTCAATGTTAAAAAAAACATGAAGTAGAAGATGCATGTATTGTCAATGTTAAAAAAAACATGAAGTAGAAGATGCATGTATTGTCAATGTTAAAAAAAAACATGAAGGAGAAGAATGCATGTATTGTCAATGTTAAAAAAAA